CTGCAGCTGTGGGCTGGAGCCAGGCCTGCGCCAGGCTCTTCTCAGGGTGGGTGGCGGCACTAGAAGAGGGCTATGGAAGGGGCTACAGTCACCCCGTAGCATCGCTGCCCACCCTGAACCCAGCCCCCTCTGAGAAGAGCAGCTGCAGTCCAACCAACCTGAACAGATCTAGGGGCATGCATTGTCCCCCCCCTCCAGCAGTGCACACACCAGGGGGAGCCCCCCCCCCCCCCCCCTCCCCGTATGAGCTGTGGCTCAGTCCCACACCCCGCCCCAGCTGGGCAGCGCCTGCCTCAGCCCCTGCTCCCTCCCTCATTATGCAGGTCCTTGATCTGTGCCCCCCATGCCCATTCCCTCCCCCCTCCTCTACACCAGACTTACCAGCTGTACATCGCTCTCCAAGTTGTCAGGCTGTGCTCCTCACCACCTGCATGCTGTGCTGCAGCTGCGTGGAGGCATGGTTATTTATCGGCCACATTGGGCCTATTTGTGATGCAGCCAATTTTCTTTGTATTGGTACTGATCTGATAACGGATCAATATATCAACGTACCTCTAGTCCTACGTGAAGTTGAACACAAAAGAAAAAGAAGAGTACCTCAGAAGCACAAACAGAAAACAGGCCCATATATATATAGAAAGAAAGTATGAAGACAAGACACCAGCTGGACTTGCTGCTTAGATGACAACTTGCTGTGTGTATCCCATCCTCAGAGCCTGATCAACTCTCAGGACCTGCACCAACATCAAGGCTAAATAAGCATGATGTCTTTAGTACATTGTATTGCCTACTCATACATGCCAGCTGAGTGTCTGTGCCTGTATTGTGATTCTCCTTCACCTGCTCCCTACAAAATTTTAGGGAACAGCCATTAATTGTCTCAGAGGCACATACAGCAAGGAGGAAGGGAGATGCATTCACAGGGCACAACAGCAGCATATAAATGTCTTACCATGTTTGCCACTCAGTGCCACATTCAGCAGTTCACCAAGTCCATCCGGAGGTAATCCGCTCTGCAGGGCAACGCTCTCCACGGTAGCCAAGTGCTTCTGCAGTGCCCGATTCCTTCTGAGTGGGACGTGGTCTTGAACTAGAAAGACAACAAATGTATAGGGATTAACACGCCCACAGAGCCGCCTGTCAACAGCCTGGTTTCCCTGGGGTCAGTTTCTCAAGGGTGCTGCCAGTGCCCAGCTCTTGTTAGCTACTTTCCTGCTGTGGCCACACCTTTGCCACAGTGAGAGGGGAGAAGGGACATTTTTAAGTTACAGCTATAAACAACACTATGGGGCTGGCGGCAAAGGACAGTGCTGGGGGCCACAGCCCCGAGCTGCAGCACAGGAAAGCGGGCTGGAGCAGAGGAGAGGGGCCGGGCGCTGGCACTGTGGAGCCCCCCGCTCCTTCGCAGCCCAACGGGCCTGGGAACCGCCGACAGGGAGCGGCCCGCAGGCGGGCGAGCGGGAGAGGCGGCCGCTCTCACCTCCCTGCAGGTAGCGC